AGTACGAAAGTTTTACGCCATCATGAGTTGGTTGAAAGTTATGGGATATCTGTGTCACAGATAACCATGAATATATTCAATTGTCGTAGCCCAATCCAGTCCTCTTCGATTGTGAATTCACCGAATGTGTACTAACCATGAGTCACGGGTGCCATTAGTTCAGCAGGATCTGCTTACTCTTCCGGAGCACTTGAAATCATTCTTTTGATTGGTGGCCTTCGGCTGCTTTCTGCTCTTTGGTCGGGTTGTTGTCTCTTTGACCCATTCCCCATTTCCATTCTCAATTTTATTCTGATGGTGTTTTGTTGCTCAGTCTTTCATTTCCTATGAAGTGTTTTGTGAACTTGTGTAACTTTTCTAAGAAATGAATTACATGAATTAAGCTATTACAATGTAATTTTCCATTACTATGTAGCATCATTCCATCAGCGCCTGTGTATGGAATATATATCTCTAAAGTGAGATACAGTATTCCAGAACTTGAGTATCCTATCATGATTTTCTCGATAGGGGTTACTACTTACAAGGAAGCTTTTGAAGTAACCCCTTAAAATATGTTCAGAGGAAAGCATGATCTAGGTGACCGTTGAATATAGAATATCTATGTGTCAAATTACAACGGATATGTTCCAATTGTCTTACCTACAATCCCGACCTCTTCCCCAATTTAGACATCACCGTTTTCGACTAATTCTCGAATTTGTACTTCCTTTTAACAACTCGCTGTGTTTATTTGGGTTTTCTCTCTAGATGTCGTTAATTGTAACAACATCGACACTGTAATTATAGCTTTACCGTGAGTATCCACAATTTCAAGTATTGTTTTCGACATTTTATTTCAAGATGTGGCTAAGTTTATTATATTATTTTTGTAACACTTTTTGTACGTAAAAGATTGAATAACATATTTAGTATTATCAAAATATAGACGTTGTCACTGTAAATGCGGCGTCCAGCTTATTTTAGATTTTGCCTTACCTCAGTTTTTGTTCGTTGCCTTGATTTGTCTTAAATATCTATTGGATTGAACACCGGTAAAAAATTATTAACAAAATACCAAATTCCAAGGTTAATTCAATAAGGGATGGAGGGGGAGGGAAAGTTCACATACCTGACAAAATCAAACGTTAGACTATATCAACCAGCGGAATGAATAGAAAACGATTGTCATATTCCTGACTTGGTACATGAATTTTCCGAATAACTACTTTCGCTTATATTTAACCTGTCGATTCACCCAGTATCTTCTGTGATTTCATAAGGAGTTTTTTACGTTGATTTGTTTGTTCTGAATCGATTTATAAGATTTGAACATCGATGCACTACTATTGACGTTAATGTACGAGGTCAAAGCTTAATATAATAATCAAATAACTCTGATGATTTTGATTTCGTTGCAATAGGACTTAAAAAACCTAGATATTATATCAATTTTATAAGAACTTGTTCATCATCATCATTCAATGATAGCCATTGAACGTGAAGCAATCATCAAACAATCAATCATTCAAGGATATTGATATGGTCAACTTTCAAGGTGTTACCCATAGAAATATTTATTAAGGACATTCCTTAATTACGAATAACGATTATAGTTTTTGAAAACAAATAAGTGGGACTGGAATTATGAAACAATGAAAGCATCAACAACAATAGGTAAATAATAAGATTTGAAAAAAATACCCGACGAGCTTAGGTCAATCAAAAGACTTCAGATATCTTGACTTTGGACCGGTTAAATTTCCAATACTGGATTCCATCAGATAAAAATGTGATATAGTACAGTGTATTTTCAAACTCTAAATTTCTGCGCTTTTGTTTCATTAAAAAATAATATCAAATTTCATATAAACAAAAATTAGCCAAATCAATGTTAATATTTATCCTGCAATTGGGTGTCTTATGATACATTAACAGCCCAACAGATATCGCTAGCCTGTATTTGTATACATTACAGATATCGCTTTATAGCTTCGCCCACTGCCGGATTACTTTTGTGTATTGCTGTTGACGAGAGTTGCATGAACTTTCGTGACCTCAGAATGTGTATTGCAGTCGCATTCTTACAGACAAACATGAACAGCAGGATTAACTCCATTTTCTACGGCGCCAATCTTCAAGTTCAAAACTTGAATGTATACATGTGTAACACACAAAATCAGCCATGCAACACTGTCAATAATCAGTGAATGTCACGGTCAGTTCGAAATTCTGAAGCGTAGCATAAATCATACAATTTTGTCTTAAATCGGACAGTGTTTTGTTATTTCTTTTTACAGTTTAAATTAGTTGTTATGTTATAATAAATAATTATCAACTTTGAGCGATGTATTATTGTTGACCATGCGAGATTCTTTTCGGCGTACCGGTCATCAGCTGATTGTGTGATTTTTGTAAATATTACTACGCGGGACTCAAAGATAAAATCAACAAAAACTAATAGATTTTAAATCGAAAATAAATGCAATAAATATGAGTTTTTTAAAATAAAATTGAGAATGGAAATGGGGAATGAGTCAAAGAGACAACAACCTGACCAAAGAGCAGAAAACAACCGAATGCCACCAATTTTGTCTTTCAAAGCAAAAACAATGTACAAAATTAATTGCAGGATAAAGACACTAAACAGTTATTGTCTATATATCTGTTCTCTGGTCAACTACGGATCTTTTACTATAACAGTATTAACTTTTATTTGTACATGTGTTTAACACAGCAATATTTTTGATATGTAAACAATACTGGATATATCATGAAAAAAATATTGTATTAGAAATAATTGAGACGATCTGTTTAGGGCACACACTTTTTGAAATGTAATCTTTAGAAACGAATATTAATAAGTTGAAAATAAAGGATATCAGGTGTATAAGACACAAATAAATGAATTGAGCAAAACCAATTGATCAAACCGTCAATGATTTTTTCTTCATCTGACAGTAACTTGTTGAAATATCTCAAATTCATTTGACTTTTGAATATATGTTTATCACTTTCTTCCGTTACTCTTTTTTGGCATACCAAATTATAAGCTTTGTATATCTGTTGATTTTTTTCCCAAAGCAATAGGTAGACTTGTATTTGGACGTAAAATTATAATGTAATGAAAAACTCGATGACTTGTTCACAGTGGGAAATCTAGTGAACGAGAACGAAAGAAAATTCACTCTTCTTACGAAAAAGTCGAGAAAATCAATAATAAAACAAAGTCGGTGACGATACAGATCAAAAAGTATTTCTAAACAACAGTTGTATATTTTAAAGAAATTATTTGTTAAACTGTGTTATTGGAAATATATTTGCAAATACACGATATGCAATGTTCAGTATTTATCGAGATAATTGCATTAGAAGTTTGTGAAGCTCTATCTCTATATTGTTAAAAAAAATTGGAAAAAATCATATACTTACAAAATCTAAAGATCTTTCGGGTCACTAATTTTCAGAGTGCTCAACAAAGTCCTTAGCATGTTACAATGTCCCAAAATATACTTATTTTTGACGTAAAAGTTGTCGAGTACAACGATCTGCTCTTGTCAGGTGAATATTCAATAAAAAATATTGTCTTTCGTGAATTTAAATGTCTGTCTGTGAAGGTTAAAAAATTAAAGATAAATATTTTGATAAGGTAGTTTACATCGGGATAAGGTCCATTTGAATTTGCTTAGTACCTTAATTTCAAAAGTTTTAATCTTTGCTGTATATCAACTTGATCTAGCTGCATCTATATACGGATAATAAGAATGTTCAAGAGAGGTATACAGCTAATAGAAAAATAAACTAAAGTTGGTACTCCAGGAATTTATTCGCATAGCAACATTTTAAACCAATTTTACTTCAAGCTCTCAAAGCCTGCTGTACTAGTCGTTTGCTATTTCAATAAAGGAAATGATAACATTAAATAAAAGCTTTGTTTTTATTTCAACTTATTTCTATTTCAACTATATACCAGAACGTTTTTCCGTGAATTTATAATTGATGGCGGCCTTGCTAAAACGGGACAAACATTGAAAAGCTCTTCTTTTCCGAGTTTACAGGGGAAGTAATATTTTTTCACTAGATTTCCCACTGTTCAATGTCATGAAACGTAGTACTTCTGATAATAATTATTTTCAAAGAATAGTGTGATAGTGGTAACAATTTAACAGTGACCATTTAGTACAACATTTCAAATTAGAAGTCTCTCCGGTAAATCACAAACATTTACTACCACTTTTTGTCAAAAATTTACTATGATTGTATTAACAAATTTCATTAACTGATCAAAATTGTAGACTGTTCTTGAAATTGATTTTTTACAGAAATTAAAAGTAATTTCATTTTACTGATTTCTCAGATAAAGCAATTTTTACACCACGTATTTATACATAATTATATAGGTCGTTGAAATACAAAAACCAGACCCTAGCTAATTTTCGTTTTGTCATTTCGGTCCTCTTTAAAGGCGACTATACAGTATTCGTTTTCTCTTTGTTGAAGGCCGTACGGTGATTTATTGTTGCTTAAATCCACGTCATTTGGTCCATACCACATCTCCTTTTTACTATTCAATACCTACACGAAATAATTAGATACATTTTGTAATGTATTATGTGATATGCATCAAATCGGACCGAAAAATGACAACTTTCTTGTGTAGATTCATTTCAAATGACACAAAGGTATTAAGACATATAATGATAATCGCTAATTATCGACCACATACGTATGCATTATAGATTTATTCAAATATTTAAGGTGTGTTATAAGTAAGCAAAAGCTGTCGAAGATATGGCCCTCTTACAATTATTCTAAGGAGGGTACAGACAACTATCAATCATCGAAACATGGTTTAGCTGTGTAGTATGAACTTTGTTTATCAATATTCATTAGAATTTTTTTTTAAATACTTAAAAATGTGAAATTTTCTCAATATAGTGGAAACTATGTGAACGTTATAATGATGAGAATTTTAAAACTATCAATTTAAGCATGATAAAATATTTTGTTGTCTTTTTCAGATATTCATTTTGTGATATATATGGAATATGCTATCCTACTAATAAGAAACTACAAAACAAAATGTCGAAAACCTTGTACGTCACAATTATTAGTTATATTATCACTTCATATCATGGTATAAATGCTTGTCCTACGGCAAGCTGCGGTTGTGTTGGAACAAAATATTTCTGTTCCAACAGACAGTTAACGTCAGTACCAGATGGTATAGAAGCAAATGTTACACTTCTGTAAGTATGGGTAAATAATGCTTAAGACTTTAAATATTACATATGTGTGCATTCTGCACTAGCCATACTTTATTTTTACTTGAATCTGACTACTCCAGGTAATTTTCCAAAAATCTTTTAAATATAAATAAAGTATGGGAATCTACATTTGAAAATTACTGTCACTGTGGCTATCTCAGGAATGATTCACATTAAAAAAAAATTCAAAATGTAAGAATGTTACATTTAATATTAATTAATCATTCGAAATTCCATTCTGATTGTGAAGTGTTAAACATTCAATTCAAAAATGATACGTCTCAAACCTTAGATTGAATGGCACTGTTTATTTGGATGAAACATGCTGAATGTATCAGTTTTCGATATTCAGATGGAGTACACGAGTTATAGATACATAGTAAATTGTAAAAAAAAAATCCAAAATACCACCAAATTTTGTTTATGTTTACTTCGCCTAAAAACCCTTATTTTGACCAAATATACATTTGTTTTGAAAGTTACATGAGAATCATGAATCACAAAGATATATACAAGGATGGATTCGGAAAAAAAATATATTAAGCATATTGTCGAAGTTATAACGTGACAATGATTTCATACTGCACCATCTTTTCGCGGAAAATGTGTAAAATCTAATATTGTGATACAGTTTCCTTACATAGTTGTTTTGAGGAAATACAAAGGAGATTCTAGAAACAATAACCCCAAATTAAACATTTTCACTAAAGTCGAAGTTGTTTCTATGAATATTTAAATATTTAGGAAAACCAAGTAAAATAAGTGACATTTTTAAATATGCAATTTTCCCTATTACTAGTGTAAAGATTGTTCTCAATCTTTCTTACAATACTTTTAGTCTCTAGATATTTATTCTATTCAATAGTTGAAATACCTTTGCCAGGTTTTCTAAATAAAATAACAACTAAACTACTATTTCAAGAAATAGAAATTATTATTATAACTATAAATTTCTACAAAGAATGAAAGTACAACATGTTTAACAGGTTTCTGTGATTTTCGTGCGTGAAGTATTTGCCTATTAAGTTTCTGTAAAGATGAGTTCAAATTCGTTTTGCTAGTCGGAAAATCCCCCTTTTATAATACTTAGCACACCTTATCCTTGCGTGTAAGAAAATAGGTCGCTACCGGTCAAGGTTAAATGTGTGTATTAAAGTTAGCGAGTACGTAAACATTGGATTATATTGGAGGAATGGACAATTTCATCCGACTTTACACCGATTTGGGAATATAAAGCAGGTAAAATGCAGTTACTAATGAAATGTAGTATTAATAACAAACTGGAAAACAAAAGATGTTATTCGAATGCCACATGTTGGCGGAATTTCGTAACGCAAAAAAGGAAACTGTCAGTTTTGCCGGGAACAAAATTTTCGGCTAAACAAAACTATGAAAGTATAATTAAACGTTCATAACACTGCTCTCCGTCAAATAAAATTTCGTCTCGAAATTAAAAAAAATAAATGTGATATATTTAACAAATTGGAACGTTCAATAAAACGATTTTAACAAGCACCTGCCGAGGAGCTTATAAATATCAAAGTAAATTAAAATATTAGTCAATTATCATAATAAAATATATATGTATATATATATTGCTGGCTATGTCACGATTAATCTGATATCACGACACGTAGTATGCTAAAAATTATATCAATGTAATTAAACACAACATATATTCAAATAAATAATGTCAACAAGTTATAGTTTTGTCTCTATTAATATTGTCACTAAAAAATTGTTTTTTAAAATTTTCAATGTCTCCTTTGTCCAACAACTTCACTGTATTATTGGTTCGTCTCTTGTTTTTCTTTCTGTCTGTGTCATCTTCTGTTATTTTCTCTTTCTGTGTCCTCATCTGCTCTTTTCTCTTTCTGTGTCCTCTTCTGCTCTTTTCTCTTTCTGTGTCCTCTTCTGCTCTTTTCTTCCTTTTTTCTCCAATCTTTTTGTGTGTCTTAAGTTACCTGTTTTCATTCTCAAGTTCTTTCTTAGTTTGGTCTAAATCTGTTTTACGGAAACTTTCTTTCAGTTGACTTATTTTTTCCTCCTGACAGAACATGTTTCCATCCTCTTTTCTAACTGAAACATTTACAATTTCTTCCGTAACTGGAACATTTTCATTTTCTTCTGTTACTGGAACATTCACAATTTCTTCTGTAACATTTAAAATTTCTTCTGTAACATTTACATTTTCTTCTGTAACATTTACATTTTCTTCTATAACATTTATATTTTCTTCTGTAACATTTACATTTTCTTCTGTAATTTGTTGCAAGAGCTCAGGCAACATCTGGACATCGACCTTGTCCATCTGTGTACCCTTATGACTTGCGCTTGTAATATTTCCTATATATACATGCATGTCCTGCGTAGTTGCTACCATGGGTTTTCTGTCATCGGCCATTACTGGCTCTGCCATTGAATCTCTGGTTGACAGGAACTCACTTCTTTCCGCTTCTTTGTCAATGATAAGCCCAGAATTTGTGTCCTTTACTCCGACTCTGGCTACTCCATCAGTTTGTCTCTTAGTCTCACATTCAATCCACTGACCATTAAACTGTAAGCCTTGCTTAGGATTGATTGTGATGTTCATTTCATCAATTAGGTCACAACCTAATAACATATTGTCACCAATGGGTGCTACATACACTGGCCATTTGAAGGTTTCACTTACAAAATCAAAGTCTACCTCTGTAATTCCTCTTGTTGTTAGGTTCTTTCCAACCTCAGCAACCACCAAATTCCTTGTTGCTCTCCTTAATTTTGACCGTTGACCCTTAGGAATCTGTTTATACAGCTTTTCACTAAGAACCGTCACCTCTGCTCCAGTGTCAATAACTGCGCATGCATTAGTCACAATCTTGTTAATGACCACTGGTAGCTGCTGTCACCCGATCAATGATAATATTTTCTTCTATACCTTTGATTGGTTCTGCACTACCCATTACCTCCTTTGGTGTGTTCTTCTGTGTGTTCTGCTGTATCTCCCTTGACTCCTCAAACAACAGATCTAGGCTTAAGTCGAGGTTCCTTGTAACTAGGCTACATGTATCTCCTTCAAATGATCTATTTATAGCTGTTGTACCCACTGTTTCTCTTTGACAAGGTTTTTTTCTCATTTAATATACTAGTATCTTTATCTTCAATTTTTTCTATAACTATAGGGGCTGGCACTTGGCCGACAGTTTCAGCCCTCGCAAGTTTAAAGACTTTAAGTTTTGATTTTGATTCAGTTCATAGTTGATTTTCAAACCATTTCTGTTATTGTTATCTTTATGATACTGGTTTCTCTTTCCTTTTGGTCAATCTTTTATGTAATGGCCTTCTTCATTACAACTAAAACATCTTGAATTCTTAAATCTGATCTTTTTGTCACTAAACATCTGCTTATTTGGCCTTGAACTACTGTCAGACTCCTGTGTTTTGTTGTACTTTGCCATTTTTCATTGAATAATTTTTTCAAAAGACTCTGACATGCCTCTTTCAAACTGTGTCAATCTTTCCTCTGTGACATATCTCTTCCCTCCAACTTTTCTGACCTCTATGTGCTCAGATTCACAATCATCAGTGTCACTGCAATCTGTTGTACCAAGCTGGCGGATGTTTCTATCTCTTGAACCTCTCTTATAGGTCTCATATAAAGTAACTTGGTGAGTTACCTCTGTAATGCTGGTAATCCTTTTTGTAAGCAGTTCAATGGCTATACTCTGATCTGGCAGGCCTCTTAACAGATACTCCACGCTCAGTGTACTGTGGGTTGCTGTGTCAATTGTAGGGAAAGACTTCCCGACTAACATCTCGACCCTTGATGCATATTCTTGTATTGTCTCTCTATTGTTCTTTCTCAAAGTATGGAGCTCTTGTCTGTAAGTTTCAGGGTACCCATGGTCTCCGAATCTGTTTGACATGGCTGCGCAAAGTACTGAATATGTTCTTTTTGTCTCTGGTGTAAGAAATGAGGCATATACCATTGCTTCATCTTTGAGAGCTGTAACCAGTTCTACGGCTTTGGTTGATGGACTCCAATTATTCATTTCTGCAATCAATTCAAATTGCATCACATATGCATTCCATGGATCCTTCCCGTTATAGAATGGCACTCTTGTTCAGCGTCCATTTTCATTTACTCTTGTAACTTCTGATGTGTTGATATACTGTGGTCCACTGGGATGCTGTATTGCTATCAAGTTTGGCTCTGTGATTGGTAAATACTGTTGGGAATCTCTGTTTTGAACTCGATATTTTAGAAAATTACTGTTTGGGTCTTGACTCTGCATAAAGTTGCTATTTGGAATTCGGTTTTGTGAGTAGTCACCTCTTTGAACTGTATTGTTTGGATATGTGTTGCTCAAAAATTGACTCTGAGTATACCGGTTCATGTGATTGTTAATAACTGGATTCTTTGAAATTTTGCTACTTGCAATATCTTGGTTTACATAACTTTGGGTACCAGCATATACAATTGACCCTAACTGCTCTGTTGACTGGGTAATTGTGTTCACTAGATTTTGATTAGGGTTTGTTTGACTTGAACTTGGTATCGGAAGGCTGTTTTGTTGGGCTGTTCTCTTTAATTCAAAATTTTCATTCTTTAAGGCATCTAATTGTCTTCTTAATTGTGTGAGCTCATCACTATCAGAATTGATTGATCTTGAAATTAAAGCGCTATCACTTCGACTTTGAGTTGGAACAAGGAACGGATAAAAGTTATTCTCAATTTGTTGACTTATAGCAGGTAAGTTGATAGTATGATCCATGGTACGAGGATTTTCTTCAGTCAAATTAGTTATCTCCCTTTCTCCTTCATTAATTGACAATAGGCAATATATTTGAATACCTATTTATTGTCTCCCCATGATTGAATTCAGGGATATTAAACCTTGCATTAAAATAATCATGAGAGTTTCTAGGTTCCCCTGAAAAAATGGGCCTCCATATTCCCAGATGATATGGCATGGTTCGGAATGGCTAAACTACTTGGT